AGAGGCACAAGGAAACTTTGGGGGAGATAAGTACCACCTCGATCATGGTGATGGTATCATATTATTCATGTAAGGGGGGGGGGTCTTCACGAACTTTATGGAAATGCACATTATGAAAAAATATTCATGGGTTTCAAAAACTTTATACAGCAAAATAAACACATACTTTAATTCCATTTTTTCCATGAACTTTTTGAGTCCCCTTATATGTCCAAACTCAGCAGGTGGCATATATTAAATATATGCAGTTGGGGCCAGACAGTGGTGCAGCAGTAAAAGCAGACACTGCAAAGCTGACCCATATGGAAGGGTTCCAGGTTGGCATCTGGAGGCCTCCCTGAGTATACCAGGCTCAGGAAAAAAAAAGCCCTTAATCTGGGATTGGCTAAGACTAGGGGTAGATTGTAATGTCAAGACCCTGTTAGAGGTGATATTTTTCTCTCTCTTGCTTGTAGAAGGAAAAAAAAAGTACAGTTTTTGTATATCGATTACACCTCAGTGAAACTATTTTTAGAAAGTTAAAAAAAAATAATTTAATGGGTTGCTCTGTAGCCTGGTTGTTAAGATAGCTGGGTACCACATGGCTGACTGCATAGTTTGAATCCTGGCCTGGTGGTTTGAAAAATACACTGGGAGTGTGTGTGCCTGCCCAAAATTCTATTGAGGTATATAAATGGAAGAGAAGGGATTGTGGTATGGCCACGTCTCATTGGGGAGAGATGCTTTCTCCCTTTCTCTCTCTTCCTCCCTGTCTCTTTGTCTCTCTCACTGGTGAGTGCCTGTGCCCTCCGTGCAAATTTATTTATTTATTTATTTTACTGATGCAGAGTTAAATACCTTGACTGAGTAGACTCTACTCCAAGGATGCGAGGCTGGTTTAATTTTCAAAAATCAATCAGTATAATAAATCTATCATATTAATGAGCTTTAAATAAATCATGTGATTATATAAACCAATTTAAGAGCAGTTGACAAAATTCAATACCCATTTATGACAAAACTCTCATAAAAATAGGAATACAAGGCAAATTTGCTAACTTGATACCTAGCTAATTTATATTTAATCATAAAAGACTATACTTTCTCCCTAATTTTTATAAAAATATCAGCAAAGGTTTTGGGGCTTTGTTGTTGTTGTTGTTGTTGTTGTAGATATAGAGATTATTCTAGTCTTTACATGGAAAGCCAAAGGAACTAGAAAAGCTAAAACAATTTTGAATAAGAATAAGATGAGCAGAATTAGTCTACCCAATTTCAAGACATTTTGTAGCTACAGTAATCAGGGTGGCATGGTGTGGGTGAAGGAAAGACACCTGAATCAGAACCCAGAAATAGACTCGGACAAATATGACCAAATGATTGACAACAAAGGTGCAAAGTAATTCAATGGAAGACAGAAAGCCTTTTCAACAAATGGTGCTAGAGGTATTGAACATACTTCGGCCAAAAGAAGAAATAAAGAAAATAATCTTGGCTTAAGCTTCATATCTTATTCAAAAATTAACTCATAATGGATTACCAACCTAAATGTAAACTGTGAAAAAATAAATAAATAAATAGCCTTTGAAATCTAGGGCAAGGCAGAGAGTTCTTAGCCATGACAACAATAGTATGGCTCATAGTAGGAAAACTGAAGAATTGGACCTTACCGAAATTAAAAACTTACTTTACAATGTGCATATAAAGAGGATGAGAAGACAAGTATATATTGGGAGGAAATATTTGCAAAAACACAGACCCAAGAACTCTGAAAACTTAACAGAAAAAAAATCCCATTAGCAAATGGCCAAAGACATAAACAAATATTTCACCAAAGAGAGCACACAGATGGAAGTAAAGATAGTGAATAGGTGCGTGAAAAGATGCCCAACATCATTAGCTGTTAGAATGGAAATTAAAACCACAATGAGAAATCTCTATACACATATCAGAATGGGTAAACTTTTTTTTTTTTTTGGAGAGGTTTTCGCTATAGGGCACGCACGCTCGCCCGACAGACAGAGAGAGACAGAGACAGAAAGTGAGAAATCACCCCCCAGGGGGGATGGTCACGCCGCAGTCCCTTCTCCTCCATTCTCCTCTCAGGATCTTGGGCACGCACGCACACGCGCTCAGCATGAGTTTTAAGCCACCGGTTTTTTTTTTTTTGGAGAGGTTTTCGCTATAGGGCACGTGCGCTCGCCAGACAGACAGAGAGAGACAGAGACAGAAAGTGAGAAATCACCCCCCAGGGGGGATGGTCACGCCGCAGTCCCTTCTCCTCCATTCTCCTCTCAGGATCTTGGGCACGCACGCACACGCGCTCAGCATGAGTTTTAAGCCACCGGGTCCTGGATACGAACCGCGGTCGACTACGTGGGAGTCCAGTGACATAGCCATTACACTAACTGCTGGTTCAGAATGGGTAAACTTTTTAAAACATTGACAACAGCAAATGCTGACAAGGATGTGGAAGGGCCGATTACTCATACATTCCTAGGGGATATAAAATAGCACAGCTACTCTGGAAAATAGGCTGACAGTCTTTTTAAAATTTAGCATGCAACCACCATTCAATGTAGCAGTTGGACTCTTGAGCATTTATCCCAGAGATAGGAAAACTATTTTTTATACTAAAATCTGTACAAAAATGTTTATGGCAACTTTATTCGTAATAGCCCCAAACTGGGACAAACGCCACACAGACAAACCCGGATGTCCTTCAGTGGTTAATGGTTAAGCAATGCGCTACATCTATGCCATGGGATCCTATTGAGTAATAAAGAGGAATAAAATATCGACATATGCAATGATCTGGATGAATCGCCAGAGAATCGTGCTGAGTGGGGAAAATATTACAAATGGTTACATGCCGCCTGATTTCATTTATATAGCATTCTTGAAATGATGCAGTTTTGGAAATGGGAAATGGGTATGTGCTTTTTAGAGGCTTGTGATGAGGCGGGGTGCAGAAGACATGTAGGTGCGGCTACAAAAAGGCAGTCCAAGGGATTCTCCAGGTGAAAGAAATGTTGGGTGTCTTGACTTGTTTGTGTTGTATCCTGGCTGTGCTATTGTGCTATAGTTTTGCGAGATATTAACACTGGGGGACCAGCAGTTGGCGTAATGGCTGTCACTGGACTCCCATGTAGTCAATCGCGGTTCAAGTCCTAGACCCGGTGGCTTAAACTCAGGTCGGGCACGTGCGTGAGCATCCCGGTGGCTTAAACTCACGTCGGGCGTGTGCGTGAGCATGCCCAAGATCCTGAGAGGAGAATGGAGGAGAAAGAATTGCGGTGTGGCCATCCCCCTGGGGGGTGATAATTTCTCGCTTTCTGTCTCTCTCTGTCTTTCTGGCAAGTGCACGCGCCCTATAGCAAAAAACAAACAAACAAACAAAAACCACCTCTCCAAAACAAAAAAGATATTAACACTGGGGACAACTAGGTAAAGGGTACTTTGAATCTTACTGTATTATTTCTTAGAACTGCATGCAGACCTACAGTATCTTAAAATGAAAATCAGATTTAAAAAACTATTCTTTATTGGGACCAGTGGATTGCCTAATGGTTATGTCGCTGATCTCCCACATAGTCAACTGTGGCTCTAGTCCTGGGCCCGGCAGCTTAAAACTCATGCCAGGTGCATGTGCATGCATGCCCAAAATTCTGAGAGGAAAATGGAAGAGAAGGGATTATGACATGACCATCGCCCCAGGGGGTAATTTCTTACTTTCTCTCTGTCTCTCTGTCTCTCCAGCGAGCACATGTGCCCTATAGCAAAAATCTCTCTTAAAACAAAATAAAACAGGTCTTTGTTAAAATATGCTATTAAATGAGTAGGAGATAAGTGTGATCTATAATTAACAAGGACATACAGCCAGGATAGGTATATAAGAAGTTTTTATGAGTCAATAAGAAAAAGCCGAACAGCTTAAAAGAAAAATCTTCACAGGTCCCTCACCCAATAGAAAATTCAGTAGCCTACAAACACATGTAGAAGCACTCGGCTTCATTAGTAACTAGGGATATGAAATGATGATTGCAAGGTAATGCCATCCACCAAATTGACAATAATAAATCAATAATGTGTTTGGCAAGGATGTGAAACAATTGGCGCTACCATACATTTCTGATGGGAGTATAAATTTAACGACTATTTTGAAAAACAATTTGACATCATCTAATAAAGCTAAATATAAGATGTGCTATATAATCCAGCAATTCTTCACCAAAGTATGTGCCCTAATGAAAAGTTAGGAGACATATACGAGAATGTTACTAGCAATATCAGTGGTAATAGTCCCAAACTGGAAACAGTCCAGATGTCTTTAGAACCAGAATGGGCAAATAAATTGAGGGATGTTCATTTAAGAAAATATTAAGTAGCAATGAAAATGAATGAACTGCAATTACACAACTACATACAACAAAAATGGATGATTCCAGCTACAGTAGAGGTGCCAGATGTGGCTGCTGGTAGGCTGAGGCTGCATGGTAGGCCTGGTTTGATTCCCAGCCCACCCCAAAAGGCTGGGTGCCAAGATAGAACCCTGGCTCACCCTGTAATACAAACTACTCAAGAGGCTTAGGCAGGAGGGTCATGACAGAGTGAGAGCCTGTCCTAAAACACCACACACACACGCGTGCACATGCACATGCACACACACGCTGGTGACTGGAGGCCTGGCACTTGAAAATATGCATGCTGTGTAAGTATTATTGTATTTGCAGAAAGTTCAAAAACAAGCAAAACTAAATAATAGTATTTAGGGATGCATGAAAAATGGATAAAACCATAAAGATATGTAAGGAAGTAATTACCATAAAGTCATGATAGTTGTTGCCTTAGTGGGATGGGAAGGGGGCGGAGAGCTTCGGGATGATGGCAGTGACACTGGGGTTCGGTGTAAAACGCTCTGTGAGGCTGTGCATGTATGTTGCCTTCCCTTCTCTCCGCGTGTGTAGTTTATAACAAAGTCAGGCACTCCCTCATATTTTATGTTTTGCCTTTGAGAAAAGATGAGATGAGAGAAGAATGGAGGTGTGACAGCTGATGGTGCCGAGAAAAAGCAGCACGTGGAAACCTGAGCTCAATATTTAAAACCTGTGGATAGAGAGTGAAAGAGCGGAGTGTGTAAACAACCACAGACCTGGAATAATGAGGTGGGTGACCCTCCTTTGCATGTTTGTTTGTTTGTTTGTTTTGAAAGAGT